CACCGCATGAACCTCCCCCCCCCCCAAAAAAAAAAAATGAACTCCCCCCCAAAAAAAGATGAACTCCCCCCCCCCAAAAAAAAATTGAACTCCCCCCCCAACTCCCCCCCCCAAAAAAAAAAGATGAACTCCCCCCCTCCAAAAAAAAAAAAAAAAAAAAAAAAAAAAGATGAATGTCAGAATCCAATACATACACTTGGCTTCACCTCAGAACTGTTTGATGTCGAGGAAATTCCTTCGGAGTTTTCTCTTTCAATAGAGAAATATAACGGGGTTTTGCGTTCGTTTCGCTCAAGAGAAAACATTTGCGTATGTGTTCGCTTCTGTATTTTCTGCTCTGGCTGGTTCTCTTTCTTGCTTGCTTTCTCTCGTACTTGAACTCTCTTTCTCTTTCTGTCTGCTCCTCTCTCTCTCTCTTCTCTTCTCTCTCTCTCTCTCTGTCTGTCTCTGTCTCTATCTATTTATCAATCCCCCTCCTCTCTCTCCTTTTTCTCTCTCTCTCTCTTCTCTCTCTCTCTCTCTCTCTCTCTCTCTCTCTCTCTCTCTCTCTCTCTCTCTCTCTCTCTCTCTCTCTCTCTCTCTCTTCTCTCTCTTCTCTCTCTCTCTCTCTCTCTCTCTCTCTTTCTCTCTCTCTCTCTCCCTCCCATGTATGTATAAATATTTATATCTATATCTATCTATCTATCTATCTATCTATCTATCTATCTATCTCTATCTATATATATATATAATATAATATAGAGATAGAGATACAGAAAAGAGAGACAGACAGAGAAAGAGAGGCAGAGAGAGAGAGAGCCGAACGTAGCATACAAAGAGCCAACCAGACAGACAGACTAATGGCCACCAACGAGCCACTTGTCCCACGAAATCCATGATAAAACACCCCGGGATTTGGTCTCTGGCGGGAGGCCGACCGGCGCGCCAAGCGAAGCGAAAATATTTACTGATGCATTATATATATATATATATATATATATATATATATATATATATATATATATATATATATGTGTGGTGTGTGTGTGTGTGTGTGTGTGTGTGGTGTGTGTGTGTGTGTGTGTGTGTGTGTGTATGTGTGTGTGTATATACATATATATGTATATACATACATAACATACATACACACACACACATCACACACACACACATATATATATATATATATATATATATATTATATAATTATATATATACATATATATATATATATATATATATATATATATATATATATATATATATGTATATATATACATATATATATATATATATATATATATATATATATATATACTATATATATATATATATATATATATATATATATATTATATATATATATATATATATATATATATATAGTATATATATATATATATATATATATATATATATATATATATAATATATATATATACACACACACACACACACACACACACACACACACACACACACACACACACACACACACACATATTATATATATATATATATATATATATATATATATATATATATAGTTTTTCCCCTAATTATTTGCCTTTTAAACCGTTTTACGCGAAACGCATTGTAAGTGTTTAAGAGTTTGTTATCACGGTATAAGAATAGCACCTGTCCATCATTACAGTATATAAATACGGGTTATATACTGTTAAATAAAGCACGCTAAATAAAGATCAGTGCTGATGTTACCCTTAATTTCTTCATTAATCTGTATCTTATCCTCATTATTCTCATTATCCATATCATCATTATCATTCCTGTTTCCTACCATCATCACACACTTCTTCATAATCATTATCCTGCCCCAAATTAACCCGAAAAAAACACCACGTGCTAATGGGTGTCAGCGTACATCAAGTAATAAAATTAAGTTTTACGAACCAAAAGCAGCTTAAATTTACACGGGGATAAACAAGCCGTTTCCATGACAACGGATGATACACTTAGCACACCTGGATTATGATCCCAAGATTCTTTTTATTCGGAAATAGTTAAATTGGGTGAATTCTGCGAAAACGTCTACATACATATGTGGATGTGTATATATATTTTAATCTCATTAGATATGTATTTTAATTTATGATTATCATTATTCACTCTCGGGAGCTTAATTAATAGTTTATTTTTATCTTATTTCCATTTTTTGCCACTAAAATATTAAAGGGTTATAGCGAACTGTTTATTATTATCATTATTCTTATATAATTACTTGCGAGAGAATGAGCTAGCTCACCACAAAGACAAATGAATGACGAAATGAAAAACAGCTGATATATATTTCTAAAATCTTAAAAAGTTTTCTAATATAAGAAGAGAAGGAATAAGCCAGGACAAAAAATTATTCCACACATTTGCCTAAAAAAGAAAGAAAAAAATAGAAAGCACATCATCAATTTTCTTAACAACAGTAATAAATATAAATATAGAATATTCTTACATATCGCCAAAGTAGCAATCAATTATATAGAATTAATAACAGAAAGTCCTTTTTTATGGGACCGTAAATATTTCTCTGTAAATGGAAATTATTAATAGATAAAGAATGGTCATAGATAATAATAAAAAATAAGTACAAAAATAAATAAACAAAGGATCTAGAGAAACAGAACCAGAGAGCGTAATTCTTTAGCCAAATGTTTAGTTTCAATATAAATAAGTCTGGTATAAATCTTTTAATTATCTATTCGATTAATTTCAACCAGAGAGTAATTTTGGAGAATAAAGTATGAATACCTGAGTCCATACTTTTTTTTACACATTCATCACAATGAACTCTTCAGTCTATAAATACAAAGAACAAGCAAAAAGAAAAACAAAACCATAGAAGCAACATTGCAATACGGACAAGAAACTCCACAAGGTTAATAACAAACTTTCTTCTCTCTGCCTCGCCCAGAGTTCAACGATATGTTTTTCTTTTTCTTTCTGTGCACTCGTTTGTAACCTGCAAAATAAAAGAAAAAAACAAAGAAAAAAGAAAAAAGTGCAGTTTAGTTAAAATTCAATTCTATCTTTCTTCAACAGAGTTCACAAACAGACTTTCTTTTCTCCGCCTCGTCCAGGGTTCGACAATACGATTTCTTTTTTCCTTTTCTGTGCACTCGTGTGTAATCTATTAACCAATAGTTTAGTTAAAATCTACTTCTATCCTTCTTCAGAGATAAATCTGTGCAGTGTGACGGTTAGTTCAACTAATCCTTCACCAATAGTTTAGTTAAAATCTAATTCGAGTTAAATTCGAGTTAAATTAACCAATAGTTTAGTTAAAATCTAAAGTTAACCAATAGTTTAGTTAAAATCTAATTCTATCCTTCTTCAGAGTAAATTAACAATAGTTTAGTTAAATTTAATTCTATCCTATCTAGAGTTAAATTAGTTTAGTTAAAATCCTAATTCAGAGTTAATTAACCAATAGTTTAGTTAAAATCTAATTCTATCCTTCTTCAGAGTTAGTAAATTAGTAGTTTGATTAAAATCTAATTCTATCCTTCTTCAGAGTTAAATTAACCAATAGTTTAGTTAAAATCGAATTCTATCCTTCAGAGTTAAATTAACCAATAGTTAGTTAAATCTAATTCTATCCTTCTTCAGAGTTAAAAATAGTTTAGTTAAAATCTAATTCTATCCTTCTTCAGAGTTAAATTAACCAATAGTTTAGTTAAAATCTAATTCTATCCTTCTTCAGAGTTAAATCAACCAATAGTTAGTTAAAATCTAATTCTATCCTTCTTCAGAGTTAAATAACCAAGTTTAGTTAAAATCTAATTCTATCCTTCTTCAGAGTTAAATCAACCAATAGTTTAGTTAAAATCTAATTCTATCCTTCTTCAGAGTTAAATCAACAATAGTTTAGTTAAAATCTAATTCTATCCTTCTTCAGAGTTAAATCAACCAATAGTTTAGTTAAAATCTAATTCTATCCTTCTTCAGAGTAAATTAACCAATAGTTTTAGTTAAAATCTAATTCTATCCTTCTTCAGAGTTAAATCGACCAATAGTTTAGTTAAAATCTAATTCTATCCTTCTTCAGAGTTAAATTAACCAATAGTTTAGTTAAAATAATCCTAAAATCTAATTCTATCCTTCAGAGTTAAATCAACCAATAGTTTAGTTAAAATCTAATTCTATCCTTCTTCAGAGATAAATTAACCAATAGTTTAGTTAAAATCTAATTCTATTCTATCCTTCTTCAGAGTTAAATCCAATAGTTTAGTTAAAACTTTCTATCTTCTTCAGAGTAAATTAACCATAGTTTAGTTAAATTAAAATCTAATCTAATTCTATCCCTTCTTCAGAGTTAAATCAACCATTAGTTTAGTTAAATCGAATTCTATCCTCTTCAGAGTTAATTAACCAATACTTTAGTTTAGAAATCTTATTCTATCCTTCTTCAGAGTTAAATTACCAATAGTTTAGTTTAAAATCTAATTCTATCCTTCAGAGTTAAATCAGTTTAGTTAAATCGAATTCTACTTTTCTTCAGTTAGTTTAGTTAAAATCGAATTCTATCTTCTTCAGAGTTAAATCAACCAATAGTTTATTAAAATCTAATTCTATCCTTCAGAGTTAAATTAGTTTAGTTAAAATCTAATTCTATATCCTTCTCAGAGTTAAATTAACCAATAGTTTAGTTAAAATCTAATTCTATCCTTCAGAGTTAAATTAACCAATAGTTTAGTTAAAATCTAATTCTATCCTTCTTCAGAGTTAAATTAACCAATAGTTTAGTTAAAATCTAATTCTATCCTTCAGAGTTAAATCAACCAATAGTTTAGTTAAAATCTAATTCTATCCTTCATTCAGAGTTAAATTAACCAATAGTTTAGTTAAAATCTAATTCTATCTTCTTCAGAGTTAAATCAACCAATAGTTTAGTTAAAATCTAATTCTATCCTTCAGAGTTAAATCAACCAATAGTTTAGTTAAAATCGAATTCTATCCTTCTTCAGAGTTAACAAACAAACTTTCTTTTCCCCGCCTCGTCCAGGGTTCAACGGAGCGAACGACCTCGATGCTCTTAGTGGTCATGTTCCTGTTCCTACTGACCGAAATGCCCCAGGGTCTCCTCACAGGACTCTCGCTCATCTATGGACCAGATTTCTTCACGTAAGTTTCTCCACTGGGTTTCTCGTTGTAGATAATTATGGTGTAGGAGCGTAGAGAAGGTAGGAATGAGAATGAATATCTTCACAATACAAGAGGTGTATTTGAGCGGTTCTCTTGTATTATGGAGATGTTCATTCTCGTTCATACCTTTTCTGCATTTGTCAATATGAATGCGGTTCATGAGGTAGGAGTGTTGTTTTGCTGTGGGAGGGTTGTCCTGTTGTAGAAGGAGTGGGTTGTTATGGTGTAAGAGTGTTGTTTTGGAAGGGTTGTCTAGTTGTAGAAGGAGTATTTCGTTATTGAGGTATTATCCTATTGTAGATGTGTTGTATTTTTGTTGAAGGATTGTTTATTACAGAAGTATTGTTCTGCTGTTGAAACATAATTCTGTTGTCGAGGTATTGCCCTGTTGTTGAGGTATTGTTCTGTTGTCAGATTTTTTTTTCTCCAGTTAGAACATTATTAATTTGTATGAATAATACCTCTAGTAGAAATATTATTTTAGACATTTTTTCGAGGAACATTATACTATCATAGACATCCCGTTGGTATTTCTTGTAGACATGAGAGTGGGGCTTATAAGAAAACGTTTTTTTTAAGCATGTCAAAGGGTCTTGCTGTCTAATCATGTCTGAATTTTTCCTGTAAGTCAACACCGCACCGGAAAACAGGAGGTTCCGGGAACTTGAAATATAAGCGTCCAATGATTCTTCAAAAAGCTATTTCTTGACCTCCCACCTAGTGCTTGCAGGACCTCACAGCAAGGCATTCCTCCTCACAATGACCTCTCTCTCTCTCCCTTCACTTGCTCATTCTGCGAAACAAACAGAAACTTATTCATATGAAGCCATATTGCTTGTGTGCTTGCAATGCTTCTGCCATCAATAGAACCTAAGGACCAGTGACTTTATGCTTGATACCAGTTACGTAGTTAGGTGTTTAATGTTGTTTTGGACTCTGAAGTTGATATATAGTTTAAGAGTGCATGTTGTCTGCTGTTAGTAAATACTATTACTATTCAATGCATTATTTGGTAACTTAACATGTGGGGAATTCATGATGAACAGATTGCAACAGGAACAACGAAGGGAAGGACAAGAAAACACACGAATATGCCGAAGGCCTTTTCGCTAATGCTTCGTCTTCGGCATATTCGTGTGTTTTCTTGCCCTTCCCTTCGTTGTTCCTGTCGTAACTTAACATGTACCATTGCCTATGTACAGTTGTTCTTTATACTATAAATGACTGTTGACTTCATAATTGATGTTTGTCTCTCTGTTGCAATATTTAGCTGCTTTGACCAATGGATAAAACTTTTTTTTTCCAAACTGAGGTAATTATAACAGCATCAAGGAGAATCTAATCGAGACAAAGCATGATGAAAGCGAGAGACAAAGGCAGAGAAAAGGATTAAAAAGGAAAGAAGAGAACAAGAGGCAGAGGTCGAACGACAAACAGGAAAGACTAGACGAATAAGGGCATGGAGAAAGAGAGGGATGAAAGGAAGACAAGAAAAAGGGAGGATGAAAGAAAATCTGAATCAAAGGGGACATGATGAAAGCAGAGAATAGAACGAAAATGAAGAAATAGAGAAGGAAAATTAGCAAAGGGATGAAAAGCACACGAAAAAGTGATAATACCAGAGGGCGTGAGAGAAAGCCCCCCCCCCCAAAAAAAAAGAAATAAAAGAATAAATAAATAAAATATTGATAACAAAAAGGCGACCCAGCAACTTCCAGGAGAGGGCAGAACAAATTGCAAGAAGATATAAAACAAGAGCAAAGCGAAACCAAACAAAGATAATATGATTTTTCTTTGTATTTTCCCTTCCCTCCGAAGTCACCGGCGGGAAGCGAGCGTCACGTGTTTCCTTTGGGCTGCGGAGGCCGCTCGTCTTTTTTTCTCTTTCTATCTTTTCTTTTTTTTCTATGTATTTCTTTTTTATCTTTTTTTCAATCTATATTTTCTTTCTTTCTTTCTATCTTCCTTTTCTTTCTTTCTATTTTTCTCTTTTTCTATCTTTTCTTTCTTTCAATTTCTGTCTTTCTATCTTTTCTTTCTTTCTTTCTATCTTTTATATCTTTTATTTATTATTTATTTAGTTTCTTTCCTTATTTCTTTTTTTTATCTTTCTTTCTTTTTTCTATCTTCTTCTTATTTTCTTTCTTTCTTTTTTCTTCTTTTCTTACGAGCGGCGGGAAGCGACTGTCATTTGTTTTTCTCTCTGAGCAACTTTCGAGGGTTTAGTCGCTGGGAAAGCATCGGCTGTGTCAATTCTGGATATTTATGATCAAAGGCCTTTGCTTGACTTAATACGTATGTGTTTGTGAACTAAAGCAGTAGCTATATTTATACCGGGCTACAAACACAAATATACAGATATATATATACATACACAAAACCCCTCCCTTAACCTCTCCACCCCCACCAAACAAATGCAAACCCCTCTCCCCCCCTAAACAAACCAACCCCCAACTACACAAACTCAACCCCCTCCCCA